GTATTCTTAGATTTCTGATTTACTTTGGCGGGAATTCTTGTTGGGGTATTACACAATAGGTAGATGGAGCCCACCACTTTTTCTCCTGGTGGGCTCTTGATTCCTTCTCTCCAAGATGGGGATAAGTGTCAACCTTCATAGCATTGTTGCATAAAAGTGTGGAACCCAGTGCCTGGCAATTATTAAGCACTTACTAAATTAGCTATATTAATAATCAAATTAAAGACACCAACTGGGAAGCAGACCAGTATTAAGATTATGTAGGTTCCCTCCTGTCCTCTTCAGGTGTTTCCTTTAAGCTGCATAAGATGTGAAGCTCAAGTGTGTTATGGTGGTTTTTTGTTAAAAGCTCTCTTTTAAAAGCTTTTGCGACAGCCCAAGAAGGAAACTAACATTTATTGGCTACCTGCTAAATTTTTTTACATGTTAGCCTATTTAATATGTGTTTTTCACATATCCTGTTTAATTCTTACAACACTGTCAACTACACCTTACAGTGCATGGATGTGAGGGGTAGTGAGGTTGAGGAATTTGCTCAGGTGGAGGTAGAGAATGGTAAAGGTATGTTTCAAGCCTGGCATCTTTTACTGAAAGTTGTATGCTTTGATAAAGAAGATCAAAAGTGCTACCTACAGGCTTATAAAGAGACTGGTTTAGAATTATCCTTGTCTAGTAATAGGACTACTTATAGTGATTTAGAATGTTTTAAGTTTTATTAACTATATCACTAACTTTTACTAACTGAATTAAAACACATTCTTGGGAAGTAGGCAGGGCAGGTACAATTATTAAAGAGGGGATCATGGAGCCCCAACTCTTCTTCATTGTTGCCACTCTCCCTCAAAAAAAGTCTTTTAGGGAAAAAAAATGCATTGAAGACAGTGTTAGTCAAAGGTCAGTTCTGGGTCGCATTCTACTTTGTAGAACCTTAATGAACCAGGCCACCTCTGCCAAACTCGCGTAGGGGTGGGTGCCTCTCTCAAAGGAGAAATTCTTTGGCTTCTTTGGCTTACCAAGTGGGGTGGGGTGAGAGAGTGTGCAAAGAGAGAAAGTGAGAGAAGGAAGGGGTCAGTCCTGGAGAAAAAGGCGTGTTACCTTATAGTCAGGAAGAAGCAAGAAAAAAACACCCAAGAACTAGTATTCCAGGGACAGACTGGCCAGTACTACCCTGACTAAGGCCTCTGCCCAGATCTTGGGAAGAAGTTAGGGAGACTCTGACAAGTGGGTAGGAACATTGAGCACCACCTAGAGGCCATCCGTGACTACGGCTACTTCCCAGATGAACCTTCCTCTCAGGAAAGTTAAGGACAATCTGGTAGTCTACTAGTGTGGATGTAAATTGAGAATCAATGTTATATAACTTCTAGATGAGCGGTTCTCAACCTATGGGTCACGACCCCTTTGGGGGTCGAACGATCCTTTCACAGGGGTCGCCTAAGACCATCAGAAAACAAAAAGATATTTACATTACCATTCGTAACAGTAGCAAAATTACAGTTAAAGAGTAGCAACGAAAATAATTTTATGGTTGGGAGTCACGACAACATGAGGAACTGTATTAAGGGGTCACAGCATTAGGAAGGTAAGAACTGCTGTTCTAGACACTTTGTAAACTTTTTTCCCCCTTTGGAAAATTTTAAAAAAATCTGAGATACATAAAGAAGAAAAATTTTCATATTCTGACCACTCAAATTCCATATTCCCATTGCTGTTAACATCTTGCAGTATTAGCTTCTAGGCTCTTGTTTTTAAAACAGATTTGTTTTATAAAAAATTACCCATTTTCATTATGAAGAACTCAAAGGTGAAAAAAAATTATTCCAAATCTGTTATGGAAACAACTATGTTAGCATTAGGTGAACATCATTCCAAATGGATACTGTGGATATATTCTGTGTACAGATAGAATGATTGCAACAAAAGCTAGAAACACTTCTGTTAAATATTGGATATTATAGCTGTTATTTTAATTAAAAACATAAAATATCATTTTTTTCCTAATAGTTGAAAAAGATGCTGAATTGAAATGTAGGGAATTCTTGAACCTCAAATATCTTCCTCATTAGATTTTATTTCATAAAAGATTCCTTCCTCTAAGATTAAAATAGCTTACAAAATGAAGAAGAGATTGAACTCATTTTTTAAAAATTAAATTTCAGTCTAGACAGTATTGATTGACCCCTTGCTGTATAAGAGAACAGCATCTCATCCTTTGTCTTCTGTACTCTCACCGCCCACTTTTTGTTATTTTTAGGTGTTTCCTTTTTTTTTATCATTCACTTTGTTGCCCTTTCCTATTCAGTGTGGTTGTTGCTAGCTGCGTGTGGCTATTTAATTTTAAACGTGCATTTACATAAAATTAAAAATTTAGTTCTCCAGTCTCACTAGCCACGTTTTAGGTGTTTAGTAGCCATAGGATAGTGCAGAAAGTTCTCTCAGCACTGTTTTTCAAGAACAGGTGATGGGCTTTGCATTTCTTGAATTCTTTCATATTTCAGAATGTCTCCTCTTTGCCTTTATATTTGAATTGTACCTTGACATACTTTCTTTCCCTTAGAATTTTTACCCGTGTCTTCTGACATGGAGTATTGTTGTGGAGAAGTGCAAAGTCAGCCCAAAGTTTCCGCCATTATATAGATGACTTGTTTTTTGTTCTTAGATACCTAGAAGATCTTATAAATATGTCTCAGTGTAGAGTATTGTTACATCATTTTTTTTTTTTTGGTCTGGAACATGTGCTGCTTTAGTCTGCAAATTCTGTTCATTCTTCATTCCAGACAGATTCTCACATTGTCTCATACTTGAAATCCATTGCCTATTTCATTTATTAAGTTCTTCACTTCAGGGATATGTCCTCCAATTAAGTTATTTTTGTTTATCTTCCATACTACTTTTTTCTAATTGTTTTAATTTCCTTGTTTCTTTTATTTTTGTCTGAAAAATGATTATCCGGACCATATCACTATGATATCCAGACCATATTACCATGATTACCAAACCTTTTCACTGTCGGTAAATCGATTTTCAGGATTGTCAATTTCTTGTCTGTGTTGTTTTCACTTATTTATTAATTGCATAATGACATTGATTTTGATTCTCAATTTGTTTCTCAATTTGTTTCTTTACATTTCCCATGTTAGGTATCTATTCCTGTTTACCAAATTACCCCCACATTTAGCAGCTTAAAACAACAAACATTTACCGACTAACAGTTTCGTGGATCAGGGATACAGGCATAGCTTACCTGGGTGCCTGTTGCTCAGGTTATCTCACAAGACTTCAGTCAAAGTGTCAGCTGGCGCAGCAGTATTCTCAAGCCTCGACTGGGGAAAGATCTGCTTCCGAGCTCCCTCACGTGATATTGGCAGGAGTACTCAGGAGCTTGCTGGTTGTAAGCTGGAGACATCCATTTCTCAACATGCAAGCCTCTCCATAAAGCAGCTCACAACTTAGCAGCTAGTTTTCCTCAAAGAGAGCACGAGAGGGAGCCCAAGATGGAAGCCCACATCAATATGACATTCTGTCATCATCTCTACCACATTATATTTGCTAGAATCAAGTTATTAAATCCAGCCTACACTCAAAGGGAGGGTATTCCACAAGGGCATGAAAACCAAGAGGTGAGGATTATTGGTGACTATCTTAGATGCTACCTACCACACCCTCTTTTTTATTTTATTCTGTTACATCATCTGTCTTTGGGCTCTTGAGTTACTGAGCCTCCCCCCCCCCCCCAGACCCTAAGTTTCTCTGTTACATGAAGCAGTCAGGTACTACTGTTTTTCAAACAATGTTTCCTTTTAGGTTGGGTATGTGCCTTTTGCACATTTGATCCTTTTTTATATTGTGCTTTTGATAGAAGCATAACTAAGCCATGCCATTCATTTCAATCTTGGTCTGATGTGGCTCTGTTCAAACTTTCTTTTTGCTTTGCTATATTCTTCCCTTTGTATCTGAGGCCAGTTTTATTTCTCTTCAAGTTATAGCTTGAGCACTTTGGCACTTTTATTTAGCCTTAAATGAAGGTCTCTGGAGGAAGAAGGCTCAGTTGAGGGTAGGAGGTTAAACACCAGAATACCTGGATCATACTCTTATCTGAGGTCCTATTAGAGGTCCCGTGTCAGGGTTCACGCCTGACTGGGGAGGAGTAGGGAAGGGCAGGGCAGGGTCCTCTTCCATGAGGATGGCCTGTTGTTGACTCTGTCTCCCAATGGGCCATTTTCCATACTTCATGGAGGGAATAAAAGCATATCTACTGGAGTGGGCAGATGTACTGAGGGAACTTTTGAGGATGATGGAAGTACTCTAAAACTAAATTATTGTGACATTTGCACCACTGTATGAATTTACTAAAACTTATCAAACTAGAAACTTAAAACAGATGAATTTTATATGCAAATTGAATCTTAATAAAGCTGTTTTTAAAAAGCATGTATGTTCAGTGTACCTTTTTCCAGAATTAGAGGTATTTTAAGAATTTTCAGGATGATGACCCAGCAGCCCCAATCATTTATTGTTCATGCTTATTAATTCATTCAGAGGATATATACTGCCATGCATGAGTAACATTAGAAAGATAGTTTTATAATTAGTATGGAATGAGTTACTTTATTCTTTTTATTAGCAAACAAAATGGTTATGAAGAAGTTTATGTAGTATTGATTGGATGATATGTAAATGAAAAAGACTTACCTAAATGTTGTGAAAATGCAAATTAGAATTTAATTACTTCCCAACTGTTAATTTTTTTTTCTTTTTTGCTGTTTTTTTTAAGTAACATTTTTCTAAAAAATTCTATGATGAGATAGCCTTTTATTTATTTTTCTATTCAGAATTTAATACTTAGAATTTACCATTTAGAATTTCTATCTAGAATTTATTATTCTAATAGTAAAATATAGAGTCTAGTAGAGTCAAATCATGATGGTCTTTAAGTTACAAAGATAGACATAGGGTAGTTGAAGGAATTAAAAAATAACTTCCATTTCTCCTTTCGGCAGGAGCTACATTCACTTATCTAAGGAGTATTTATCACTCTGGTAATCAACTAGGAAGATACAAAAAGAAATATGGAAGATACAAAAAGAAATATGGCAAGCTTCCCGTCAGTCTGCCTTCCAGTAAACATACACGCGAAAACGTCTGTGAGGCACTGTGGAACATACTAAAATTGTGAGGTCCTTAAGGGAACGGCTGTGTCTTATGAATTCCTTTTTATATCCCTTATCCTTTGTACATTACAGGTGCTCTATACATATTTAATGCATAACTGAATGAAAGACTAAGTAAGATATAGCCCTTATCCTCAAGAAAAGTATATTCTAGTTAGGAGACTAAGCTATGCCCATATGAGAAAGAGAGCTAATAGCACAAGACCCCATGTAAATACCAGGTGTTCAGATTGTCCACATAGTGCCTGAGGAGGAGGAAGACAGTGGTGGCTAGGACTGCTCGGAAAAAGCCTTTGGAGTTACTAGTACCCAAGTGGGTACACCTGAATCCCTGCCCAAGAGCAGAGAATATACTTGGGGATGCTGCAGACACAGGCTCCAAGGCAGACATGAAGATGACTTGTGTGTGGGACCATGAAGAGAGAGGACTAACTGAAGCAGAGGGAAGAACTGGAAAACAGAGTTGGACGGGAAGAATGGCTGCAGATTGCCCGTGGGCTTTTTTAAGGCCAAAAGGAGAGATTGGGATTGTTTCATTAGGCATTAAGGAAACCAGTGAGTTCTTGAGCCAAGAAATGATTAGATAAAAATGTGCAAACTTACTATTAAAGTTATTAATTGACCATGTGGATAATTCGGCTGGTTTTTGCATCTTTTATGTGCAAGACACTTATATATTGAAGAAGGTTTGTATATTTGGTTATTTCATTTTCTTTTTTTCTGGTACCTTAAGCAAAATAATTATCAACTCTTTCGTTTTTTTTTATCTATGGAGATAGGGATTCTAACAGTCTTGCAAATAAGAACACAAATGTTTTATTTGAAACATTCGGGCAGAAGTTCATTGAGGGTGTGTTGTTTGCAGGATACAAAGTCCTACATAGGAGTTCAGAGATGAAGAGTTGCCCCATGCAGGGTGGTTAGGTGATTAGAAAAGTAGCAATGAAATGCCGCTGGAGTAGAGAGGAAAAAGTGCCGTTTTCTGCTTGGGAGCCAGGAACTGAAAGAGTTGACCTGTGTGCCAGGCACTTCCCTATACGTTTTTGTTTTAATCCTTATAATGTCCTGGTAAAAATGTTTAATTCCCTATATACAGAGGAGAAATGAGGCTTGAGGCTGATGTATGTGGACATGAGCATTACAGACATAGGTTTGGATGAATTTCCTGATAGAGGAGATGTTGGCAGGAAAGGCCATCAGGTCTTATAAAATAACTCAGTGTTACATCTTTCCTGGAATAAATGATCAGGAAGAGGTATATATAGGCAGCTCAGTGACACTCTTTACAAAATGTTACTCTTAAGAATTAATAGCCCTTTAGTGCTTAGATTCAAGTTAGTTACAATAAACATTCAACCCTAGCTTTCTCAGAATGTTTAAAAATTGCTCTTTGTAAGGATTCTAGTCTGAAAAAATTCCTCTTATTGGAATGAAGTTATGCTGAAACCTCTACATTCAAACTTACTTTCTTTTGAAGAATCAAATGAAGGGTACAGTTCATGTTGATTTAGTTCACTTGATCATTGATTTTGATCCACTTTTAGTGTGGGCTGAGTAACAGAGGTATGGGTTAGAGGAGCTGCCACACCCTTCCAGCTCTGAGCTCTTTGTCCTGTACTGTAGAAAAATACTTATTTCTTAGGGCAGTAGCTCTTTGAGGGTTAAAAACAAAAACAAAACAACAAAAAAAGCATCCAGTCTAATCCTGCTCGGCTCTTATTTACACAAACGTTTTTTGGAACTGTAATAGCTTGTTAGATCTTATGCAGTAAAACATAATTCCCAATTTTCCAAGACCAGCTGTAGATCAGGATTCGAAAGGCCTTAATGGAAAAGGGCGGATATGTGTTTGTCAAGGGGCCACTTAGGGAAACCGGTTCCATGTAATTTTTAATACAGTTCTTTGGATAGACTTTTATTATGACTCAGTGTTACAGATGTGATTAATTTATAATGGAAAATAGTGATACCATATGACAGTTATCTTCAGACTCCAGAATACTTAGGCAGCAGAGTGAGTGATGACTAAATAGTTTACAGAGGCTGCCGAAAGATACCACTGCCAGGATGAAGCACTAACTGAAGGATGAACCTGGGCCCCGATGCCTCTGACCCTGCTTGATTAGCCAGCCACTCATTGTGTAACTCACGCGGCCAAAAGAAACTGGGGCCTGTTGGAAATCTGAGGCCCTCTAGGTTTCTTCTCACCAAAGGGACGTCCACACGTGTTTCCTTCTCTAGGCAGGCTAAGATGCATAAGAGGAGTGGTCTTGGATAAAATGGGAGAACAGATTTAATTTGTTCTTTCTCCAGTCATGTTTTCATATAATTTCCGCCTCTGAACAGTAGACATTTTAGAGAAGAGGGCCAGCCCATCACAGACATATTTGGGGCATTTTTGTGAGGAAGTTAAAATACATGGATGAATATGTAGTGACCAGATGGGGTGATGTTTTCCCTTTGCTTGCTTTTGCAAAATAATGGTTTATTGTTGGGGAAAGAAGTCACACTTGACTTTGTGAGTAGGGCTTGTCATCTGTGGACCCCACAATATGCAGTATGTGCCAGTAGCAGAGAGAATCTTGTGAATCAGAATGGCTGCTGGCATGGAATTGGGAGACCTGGATTCTGCTCAGGTCCTGAGCAGAGTTCTCTCCTAGTCCTCGTTATGGGTTGAATTGTATCCCTCCAAAAGATCTGTTGAAGTTCTAAGTCCTAGTACCTCAACATGTGACCTTATTTGAGAATAGGGTCTGTAAAGAGGTAGTTAAGTTTACATGATGTCATTAGAGTGAGCCATAATCCAATATGACTGGTTTCCATATATAAAGGGGAAATTTGGACACAGTCACACACACAGGGAAGACCATGTGAAGACACTGGGAGAAAGCCATCCACAAACCAGGGAATGTCTGCAGCTGCCAGAAGCCAGGAGTTAGGCATGGAACAGATTCTCCTTCACAGCCCTCAGAAGGCACCTGCCCTGTGACACCTTTGTTTTGGACTTCTAGCCTCAAGAACAATAAATTTCTGTGGTAAGCCATCCCATTTTGGGTATGTTGTTATGGTAGCCCCAAGAAATGAATATAATCCTGATCCCCCCAAAAAACACACAACTTTGAGCAAGTCTCTCAACCTTCTAGACTTCTGCTTCTTCATTTGTAAAAGAAGAGTCTTGGAGTAGATGATGTCAGGACCTTCCTGCTCTGACATTTGATGATTAATATTTCAAACAGTACACTCAATTCCCAGCAAAGTAATTGTTGTTAAGTTTCCTAATATACCTAAAATACGCAAAGAATACATTTTTTTTCAGTTCCTGATTTTGTTCTTTTCATTCAGGAGTCATTGGTGATACTTCCCTTAACCTAAATATTGGGCAAGGCTGTCTCTTCCAAGTTGACACACTAAACAAATGACAGCATGTCTAGTCCCTACATGCTATATAACCAAAGAACTGCTACTTAAAAGCATATAGCTATATTCTACTGGTTGGGGCTTAGCATATTTTGGGTGTCATTTCATTAGCTCTTCTCCCTTAGGTTTCTAGAATGATTTCTCTTAGACATCTACAGGTTTCTTCTAGTTTTCCCAAAGGAACCTGCCACATAGATACAGGCCACTCAGGTATTTGCTAGATGCCTGACCTTGGTACACAGTAGCACAAGCAGCACTCTATGCACTGTGACATGTTCTTCATATGGGCTTTGACATAAGTCAAGGAGTTCATGGGGTTGGTCTTCTCTGACTTGTCAGTAGGTTACTGTTGGGTCCATTGATGCAGCAAAATCAAGATGTTGTATTTGGTGCTGTCATAGGTGAATGCAGAGGAAATGAAACAGTCACTTACCTCTTCACCAGTGTCTTTCCTTACAAAATCAGCAGCTGAAACCTACAAGACATGTTTGAAATTATGCTACCTTGGACCTTTTTTGTAGATTTTTGTTCTCTTTCTTTTCCCTTAGTCCCTATATTACAGTGGACAATTTTTTAAAAAATGTGCCTTAAGCTTTTTAAGAAGAGATAAGTAATATAAAAATTACTTTCTAAAAAAATATGTATATATTTGATTCACAGTACAGAAAATCTTTGAAAACAAGCTAAATGAAATGTTTCGGACCACTTGTCCTCCTGTCTGAGGCTCTCTCATGTTCTTCCTATTTTCCTCAGAACGCTTTTATATCTTTATCCTTTACTAGAATATTCCCTCTCTTCAATCTTTTGGGACAAAAAGACCAAGGGGTCAAGTTAGGCCTGAGGAGAGATGTGAAAAACGGAATGAGAGTAGCCGTGCTGGGATGTGCTCGCTGGACCTTAATGCCTCTACTTTCTTTGTACCCCTTAATGAAAGGGATAGAGAAATGGTTAACTTGAAGAGTTTCACCATATTTAGCCAAATTAAAGGTAACAGTTTTACTCACATTTAATGAAGCTTATCTGGTTCTTCAAGTATTACTTTGCTAACTTCTGAAGGTGTTTTAATATGGGTGTTTTCATGCATAATGTCTCATTCTTGGAAATGCAGTCTGATTTAAATTTTTTTCTTCACTTAATTCCATACCACCCATTTATCTTTTGTAACTTAAAACACAGGGAAGGGCCTCAAAACGCCCTCAGTGTTGATATCTATTTTAAAGACGCTCCAGTGAATCACCTTTCTTTAAATAATTGTATGCATCAGTTATCAATTGTTTATGACTATAATTTTTTTGTTCCTAAGTATAATAATTAAAATATTCCACTTTTGGGGCCAGCTGAGTGGCGTGTTGGTTGAGTTGGCTTGGGATGCCAGCTCTGAGCAGCAGGGCCCTGGTTCAGATCCCACATTAGGGCCAGTGACGCTGCACCCTCTACAGCTAAGATGGTGAACAACAGCTCGGCCTGGAGCTGGGCTGCGGTGAGTCGCTGGCGACAGCGTAAGCTGCAGTGGGGCTGCAGTGGGGCTGGCCGGCAGCTGGCATGAGCTTTCGTGAGCTGTAGTGAGCCACCGCCGTCCAATGGCCGGCGAGCGACTGCCTCTCCCGGGAAGAACGCAATGATAACACCAACATGGGACAATGAAGTGACATCCTCCACAACTAGACTGAAGAACAAAAGGACAGCAACTTGTCTGTTCCCCTTCCCCAATTCCCCAACGCTGTTCCCCTCCCCCAATTCCCCAATAAAATCTTTAAAAAAATAAAAA